AATGTGCCCTTGCTTCCCCACCCCCCCACCCCTCCATCCCCAGGCAAAGTCAGGAAATGAGCGCTCTGGAGCCTCCGCCTTAACAAGCCGTGTTAACCGGCCAGCAGAGCTTCAGACAGGCTGCTGGCTCACACGGCCTCCAGGTCGTCAGCATGTCTGGCACCATGCAACTTGCCACATTTGGCAGAGCTGAGGAGGCTCAGGTCTTAATGATGTTTATTTTTCCCTTTCTCTTTGCCTGTTGCATCTTTTTAAGACCAAGCCTTATTCCATGGGTCAACAACTGCCATTGAGCATAAACAAATACTGAATGTGTATTAGTGATGTTTGAATCCTTCACTAATTCAATAAAAGCCACGTCGCAGTGGCTGCAAGATGGTGTTCCCACTTGAAAGGATAAACACAAGTATCTATAGCAACAAACAGCAGCAAATGAGTCATAGTTTCCATACATCTACCACAGGTGTCCCCTGTGGTTTATCTGTGTACCACTGCTCCGGTTGTTTGTTGTGTACTGATATCGACTCCAGTCAGCAACAGGACACCCAGAGTTTTATCTGCCCCCTGGTTGGTTTTCAGAATGAGCTTTTACAGGCGTTCGTGTACTGGATTACAGAAAGCCCCACAGACCTCCATGCATGGTCTGTAGCTGCAGACCAGAGCTCAATAGACCACATCAGTCTGCTGGAGGACCTGGGCTGAGTCACATCATGGTGCGGTTGATGAGGTCAGACAGTGAACGCTGCAGCTGGCTCGGACATAAAACCAAACCCCAAATGTCTCTGACACCATCTCCTGACTATTTTTATTTGTGATACCAATACGACCGAAGACCGAGACTGATATTCACACTCAGCTTCTCCTTATATGGTCAGTTGCTAACAGACACTTATGATTAGAGCATTTCTGTAATTTAAATGACAACAAAATGTACTGTGTTACCAATGAACAATATGCAGACTACCTGAAGTTTTCATGCAGCATAAAAAGACAGTAAGGGCTGTTTGTTCTCTCAGGGGAGGTCTGACAATTAGCATTTTTCAAAACCTTTGAACCGAAAAAGAAAACAAGACAAACAGAAACAAGAATGATTAAAGGCACGTAATAGCAAGCATGTGATACATTAATAGTAAAACAAATAAAGATGTTTTACTGTTATTTAAGGAAGAAACAAGGAGAAACATGCATGACCTATAAATATTGTATTAATTGTATTTATTCTCATCAAATCAAACTATTTTTTCCGGGTATCCAAGTTTCCTTATCTAAACTCAACATTTGCCGTAACTTATTATAAGCAAAATATTTTTTTTTACAATCAAAACATGTGGTTTCCATTATTCTTCTTTTAGTGCATTATTATAGGATCATGTATCAAGCTCTTTGGATTTATTTGTCAATGATATGTAATTCAGAAATGTTTGTATGATTTACTTATGGGAAATAGTCGTATTACCCACTGTACTTATTCTATACCATTATATTCTCTTGGTACACATAACTATACGATATATTGCACTAATGATTTACATAATCATATAATTTGTCTCCTCAATGTGACATTTTCAGGCATAATGGAAAAGGAATTACGGATGTTGACCTCGTGGGGAAATAAGTTTTGCTGTCAATGAAAATACAGTATTAAAAAAAACTACATTAACCACATAAAGGCTCCTCTTCACAAGACGTTCTTTCATAAAACGACTTACATCAGTACCCTCGTGTTTGAGGAACGGACACAGACTTTTACAACACAGCAAACCTCAGCTGGTGGTGACCGTAAGTCTCCTTGCTCCTGCGCTGAGTGCTTAAGTGCTCATTACACTGTGGGATGCAACGTCTTACAAGCTCTACACTGTCTTACCTGATGAAGTTACATAACAGCAGCCAGTCAGCAAGTCAGAGGGGTCTGATCCAACACCTCATTAAATCTGCAGCATCTATCAAAACCGCAACCCTGTCTGGTAGAGGGGAGTCACTCCAAACCCCAAATTACAGCATTAAATTGCCTGAATTTTTGGTATTAGGCAGACTGTAACTCTGACTTTAAGGCAGAGGCTTAATAAATGGACCCACATCCTGCAGCATATTTAGACTGCAAACTCTTGAGCCAAATTGGTATTTCATGGTGGATAAAGCTGTCGAGTTTCCTGGAATCGTCTAACATAGCATGGAGGGCATGAATACAAATTATACATCAAATGTTAGAGATCCAAAATTAATCAAAAAATTTATTCTGAGCTAATATGGAACAGAAAATCTTTAGAAATGAGGCACTGCTCATTACAATTGTAGATTGTAATTGAGTCATTGGCCTTGAGGTATTCCAACTAAATCGATGCATAAATACATATTTGTCTGAGTTGAATGTGAGTGTGAACTATTAGTCTGGATGTGTATTTAAAAAAAAACTGATTTTTCTTATCCTTAGAAAACCCACTTTGGAAAATTAGAGGAAATGGGTGAAACCATTGCTATATATTTTCAATTCCATTTACCTGACCGAATCGCCCGCCTTCACATCTCTCTGTGAAATCACTCAAAATGCTCTTGGTTATGGACACGGTAACATAATGCTGAACGCCCTTCTTGGAAAAACATGGCTATTACGCTAGAAGATTGATGATAGGTGGACAGAGGTATTCTCTGAATAGCCTCAGTACGATGAGGGAACATATCGTTTCTAAAACAACAATGTGGTTTCAGTGTCTCACTAAATTTCTCAGTATTATGCAAGGGTACTGAATGAAGGCTCCCGCAAAGCCGTCGGTCGAAAGTTGCGGTTGATGGTTTTGCCATATGTAAACTGTGAGTTCACTCTCAGATCATCTCAGACTATCCAGCTGCTCCTTCAGTCACTCACACCAGCTGGATGCGTTCACACTCACTCACTCACTCACTCACTCACTTCACCTCGATGTATGTCTCACCAACACCTACACACCTTATACTGTAGATACGTGACACCAAATCAGCCACGCAGCTTTCTCTCTCTCTCTCTCTCTCTCTCTCTCTCTCTCTCTCTCTCTCTTTTTGTCACACCAACACCCACAATGCTACCTTTACCATTTTTCTCTCTTTCCTTTTACTTTTTTGGCCACACTAGCAGCAATGCTTTATGGATGGCATTGTCATATCACTACTTTGGTCCAGGCTGAAATATCTCAATTGGATTCATTGCTTTGAAATCCTATACCAACATTCATGGTTCCCAGAGGATGAATCCTAATGATTTTAATGATCGCCTGACTTTTCCTCTAGTGTGAGAATGTTATTGTGCATTTTGAATGAATGTCCACTTAATTTGCTACAGACATCCTTGTCCCCCTCAGGATAAATTGTGATAACTTTGGAAGTCCCTTAACTTTTCATATTGCGCCAACATAAGGTCAAACTTAGCATTGTTTCGCGTTTTTCGTAGCCACCATAGTAGTTTCCCCCACGCACTAGGAAGGGCAGGGTGAAATCCTATAAACTGGTCCTTTAAGGAGCTACTATCATGGCTATAGATTCTTTAGTTCAGGTTATGCTAGAAAAGACTGATTTTGTACAATAACCATACAATATCCTTATGTTAAGTTGTTCCAAATGGCCACACACACAACAAATTCAATAGCCAGCTGCCATAGAGAGGGGGGAGAGACGTGTGACAGAAATAGTTGTGTAAAGAAAAAAAAGAGAGTTAGAAGGAGTCCAAAGTCCTTTCTCACCTCCACACAGCTGGCCAGAGCGTGAAAGTGGGTGTGAATGTCTTATTGTTGGTTTTGGTAAGTTACAGAAATTGCTGTCGGACACAGCTTCCCGATTCTGACGTCGGAAAGGTTTCGTAAGCTGTTTGACACTTAGATGTCCCATTTCACTCCAGTCAACATGTTCATAAAAGGTTCTTCGTAGCAAACCATGCATCATACAACTGCTTCAGGATATGAGAACAAAACTCACCTACACTATACAGCAGCTTGTTTACACAGTATAAACAGCGCTGCATTGTGCTCCATTGAGTCTTATTCCAGGTGCTCTCATTAATCCTTCATAGTTCTGGCACATTGAGACCAAACATGTCTGGGCTAGAAAGGTCTGCCATACGGTGGGAAACAGCACATAGGGAGAGAGCACACTGGACCATTTGTTTAGACGCAGTCAAATTGCTGTTTTGTTCTGAACAGTGACAGAGAGTATGAAAAATGAAAGAACCTCTGTCTGAAAATGTTCATTGTGAGTACTGAAAGTCAAATCACGTCTGAAGAGGCACACTGATCTCTCCGTACAAACTGTATTGATCGAACCAAATCAAATATTGAGGATTAATGTATTTATTGTGCATGAGCATAACAATTTAAGCCCACAGAATAAGAACAAAAAAGTTTTTTCACTTGTGTAGGAGTGGGCTGGTTTGGAAAGCTGTGTGTTATGTGTCTGATATTTGAGTGGGTGTGGGTACGTCATTCTGTGGACTTATAACCTACTATTCCTTATAATAAGTGGTTCATGAGGGGGAAGTGGGCCACATGTGGTAAAGTGAAGTTACTTGAGACGGAGGCTCAAATTAGTGACCTTGTTTGAATGTTAAGGTACTGATTCTGTGCCAATTTAACAGAATTTCTTTGTTACATCCAAAGTCTTTGAAACTAGACTCTCTATTTCCTGTCTAGTAGTATAGGAGCAGGAAGATAATGCATTTCCCAGAGAGACAGATGTCCATTCTCTAAAGTGAAGTCCAGGAAATGAATAGATTTCTTCCATATTCTGCCTCAGTCTCAGTCTCCTCCACCTTCAACTGCTACAAGAGACAAAGCATGAGGATAGGATTTAGATCTTTCGTAACACCAAATGCTCAGACCCCCGTTTATCACATGTATCTGAAAGTTGTTTCAACTTTATGCTCGGAAAAATCACATGTGGCATTTATGTGGCTGTAGTAATGGTGCCCACTTACAGGGAGGATACTATAGGGTCAAAAGATCTTAACACAGTCCCCTGCTATGAAGAAGTCACAAAAGTTCACAACAACAGGCGATAAAAACTGTGTGAGAACATGGTGATTTACAACAGCCTGTCCCACCTGTGACTGCCTGTTTGCCCCAAGCTGAGGATAAATGGTTTTAAGGGGGGGATTCTGGGACAATCCACAGGCAGAAATTCTCATCTTAAAGAATAATTCTGGTCTGTTTTCATAGCTTCCACTATAATTTATTTTGGTAATGATAAAACTGTACTCTGCTGAGACCTGGGAACACTCAAGAAAGCTATAGTGTCATCTGACGGGGGCAAGAAAGAATTGGAATTGTGAACGGGCCAAAAGTTCAGTCAGATTATTTTGATTTAGTTTTATTTTTTGATGAAAATGTATTAATTTTTAATCATATTTTAGTCCTTCAATTATTGTTTGTTTAAGTTAGCAAAAGCCTTGTGTACAGGTACCATGCTTACTGGTGGGGGCTGTAAAGAGAACATTCACTTACCATCTAATAGGTGTCTGGGGCCTGCTTGTTTTAATGATTGCAACTGTTTTGTTGCTGTTTCTTCTTTAATTTTCAGTCGGACTGTGGAATCCAAGAACCAGTAATTCTGAAATGCACAACGCTCTTAATGATTAGTGAAAATGTCAAGCAGCTAAATCCATTTTTGTAGAAGAGAAAGTTTGAGTTTGGGAGGACAATCAGGAACATATTATGCGAGTATGAGATAAATGCAAGTTGTTGAATAAGACTGCATTAACACAGTACTTAGCTAATTTGTCCACTGATCTATTCAACTTTTCAGTTCAATTTTATTTGTATAGCGCCAAATTATAACCTCAGGACACTTTTCATGTGGAGGTCTAGACTCCTTATTAATAATTTACAGAGACTCAATAATTCTCATCTGTCTTTTTCATTATTGTTTGTACTTGCTATTTTTTTTTTATTTAATCATATTTTTAGTTTTAAAAGGCTACATGTTGTTTAATTTTAGTCTTGTCATCAACAAAAGACCTTTTTAACAGCAGCCATTTTGTCATGAAATAGGAAATTGTAGGGTAAACACAAGTGTTACTGATAAAACTAATTAAGGCTCTGGTCCATTTAGCGTCACAAAGCCTTTCCAGTGAGCCAACATGCACACTAGCAGCATCCTGACTCTGTTTGACCTAAATGGAACAGAACCTCAATTAGTATCACTGTGTTTACCCTACTATTTCATGTCAAAATGGCTGCTGTGAAAAAAAAGTAAAAACCTTCTATTAAAAGTTCATAATAATCTGGCACTGCACATAAAACACACAACTGCAGTAAATACAGTAGGTCAAAGTTGAACCATGTAAACTATCATGGATGTTAAAAACGGAAAATTTGGGTGGTTATTTAAATATTCGCCTTTCTCCTGTAGATATATAATTCTAACTTTTTCAACCTGTATGGTTGTCTGCTTATTTTTCTTTCCTGGTTCTCTTGTTTAGGTAAATACAATGTTGTTATTTTCAGTTCAAACCAGGAAAATAGGACAGAAGTTGTGACACACCGGAACTGAACCATTTTACTGCAGCTTTAATTGCAACATTGCAGTGAAGGATGATGAGTGGACATTTCCTAGCGACAAAGTACTTCCTTTTGTTCCTTGTTGTGTACAAGTGATGCCAAAACACGCACTAGTAACTAGGCATAGTTTGCACGTGTGCATGCGGGTGTGTTACGTGAGGATGTGTGAATGGAAACCAGGTGCTTTTGTGCTCTGCCAAGACAGGCTTGTTGTTGCATCGTCAGCTTGGTGTGTCTAGAAGTGGCTTAACAAGCTCAGCAGGACCCCACACATCAAACACACCGCTAATGGCTGATAAACTCATTGGGCTCGGTCAGGCCGGACAACAAATGGGCACGTTTACGTTCACGGCAGCACAGAAAAACCCCAGTGTGCTTCTCAGGCCCTCCATTCACAATTCAGCCCAGCTATTTTCATGAGATGTTAAGAGGAAACGGGCTCCTGGTTTATGGGAAAGCAATAAAATGTCAGATCCTTGACTGGTCAAAGCAGCAGCTTGTTTAAAAAAAAAAAGGAGAAAAGAAAGACTTATGTGAGGTAAGGAACGACAAAGGCAGATGGAAAGAGACAGGCTGGTATGATGTCATAACATTTCTGCAAGAGCTCGGTTAGACAAGAGGAAGAGTCAGCGCTGGTGGGGTACCAAAAAACTGCAGTAGTGAAACACACACGAAAGAGCTTATCAGGACAAATCAACAGAGTGATTTGCAGTGATTTACCTCATATGGAAAAGGGAATAAATTCTAAACAGATGCTGTGGTTCATTTGCAGGTTGTTAACAACACAGTAGGTTCTTTCCTTTGAATTTTCTGTGAATGCCTACAAATAATCTCCACACAACCATAGCCCAAAATTAAAAATAAGTTGTATACCTACAGTATAAGTTACTGGCCCAAGCTTACTTCAGCAAATCTTTGTGCTTTCTCTGCATTTATTAAACGAGATGAACATGTGTACAACAAACAGTGCCAAGGTGAGACTGGAAGAGAAGAATAAAAGACCCAAGAGGCACATTAAGGTTTTGAGGAGTGAAGTTTAATGGGATCATGATTGTCTTTGTCGGAGGTCAAATATTTAATTGGTTTAAGGGACAAAAAGCACAACCAGAGCCACTCCTACATTCACTCAGCCAACTAAAACTCTCTACATAGATAAACCATCAGGGCAGAAAAACCCCAAGAACCACTTTTAGCAGCTCAGTCTTACAGAGGGTCATTACTTTTGACAAATGACAGACATTTTACTTTTTCAAAGGTTGGGCAAAAGGCTACCACATATTATCTTTCTCATTTTGTCCAAACACACTGTTCCCAACAAACCGTTTTCATCTCCTCCTATCAAAGGGATTTATTGTTCTAGCTGGGTAAAACTCTCTTTCTCTCCATTCTCTTTTATCTGGGCAATCTCTCCTCTCTGATTATGCTTTAGCTGGTTGAGATCAGTGTTACTCTCCAGGAGAGTAAAAGTGACCTCAGTCTGACTCATTGGTCGGCATCCATCTGCTCCCCGGGCCCTACAACACGCACAGACTGACAGAGAGGCTTTCAGACAGACAGACAGACTGGCAGTGTGCTGTGGGTTAGACACATGTACAGATGAACAGAGAGACAGAGGTACAGACAGGTAGGGTCCTAAGGTTGCCCCGTGACGAAGAAGGAAGGAGGCAAATTAGTGCGGTAGATAGGGCGGACTGTGACCTTATTGGCCGGACTGTTAGCGAATGGGGTCACTGGGATACAGCCGACGTCACAGCGTGCTAGTTGTAGAAGCGGCCAATCGCTTTCCTATGTAGATCCTGAAACGAGAAAGCATTAATTGATTATTGCCCATTCGCTAAACTCCTCCCCCAAACAGCAGCTGTCCAATCATGGCTTAGCAACTGTAACTAGCTTCAGCAGGCCTATCAAGCTTTGGATTTCTCAACATGTTTAAGTGGTTTTTGGAAGTTTGGAGGGTGGCGTCTTTTTTAGCATTTCCCAAACCGAGAGGAAAAGTGTTTCTCTGCCCTAACATAACCTGCAATTGTTAGCATTTGTTAGAATTTGAGGACATTTACACATATTAAAGGACCTTTTTATGGGTTTTTTTGTCTAAAAACAATTAATTTGGAAACATTAAACATCCAGTCAGAGACAGTGGTTTCAACCAATTCGTGAAGCTAGTGTTAATTAGATAGCTAGCTATAGTTGATCAAATTTCAACTGTCATTTTAACTGGGAAAACTGTCAGTTTTCAGCTAGAAATGAGTAGCTTCTTTTGTCTATCTCTGCATGAAATCTAAGACTTATTTTTTCATAAATGACTAAGAATTTCAAATAGTTATTCTGCCACCATTTTCATTGTGCGTATGTACTATGTGAGAACGAAAAGCTTGACAGGCGTAGCAACAGTAATTAAGGAAGGTGGGGCTGTCAGTTGTTGCAGTGCTGTAATGCATTTGCATAAAATGGAAAAAAAGTAAGTCTGTGTTTGTGTGTGTGTGTGTGTGTGTGTATGTCTCACCCGACTCCAAGTGTGAGCAGGTGTGAAGCCAGCAGTGAAGGACCAAGGATGAGGAGAACATCAGAGGAGAAAATTCCTCTCTTCATCACCTCTGTCTTCCTAACGCTGAGGGAGCCCTGCTGCTTCGGGTGCTGAAACACAAACTCCCTGCAGGGAAAGAGGAGGACGAGGACCCAGAGATAAGAGATGCACAGAGAGGGGAGATAGAAAGGTAATATATATATATATATATATATATATATATAAATAAACAGAGATAATGAGAACACAAGAGAGAAGACCGAGAATGTAAGAAAGGTAGCGAAGCACTGAGAGTCTGAGACCATTAAGAGCTACTACCTGTCAAATAGACTTATTGTATCGCAGAAGATTAAATGTCAAGTGTGGCAGTGTAAATAAAAGCGAGGGTGATTCATGTGTTTCTCAACTCTCAAAGGTATAAACAAAATTTAAAACACAGCTTTGGAACCTGCTGTCAAAGTCAAACTAAAGAGATACACCATACAATCCCAATTTTATATGGAGTTTTTTTTGCGAGTAAAACAGGCCTGATTTTTTAACTAGTGCCAAAAACAATAATAGTGAGTGTTTGGTTAATTACTTATTATTACATTTCTTTATTTCTTCACAAACAAGTCTCCTCTGTATGTCAGGCAACCTCACAGTGACTCACTGCACCAGGAGATATTTACAGCAAGTAACTTCCCACAAAACCACAAATTGTTTTTATATTTCTGTTTGTGTACGGATTAAACAAATTGGATATAACATGTTAATCAGTGAGCTTTCGAGGTGCTGTTAGGCTCCAGATATCTGTGTAAGGCAGGTTTTGTTTGTAGCTGATAGCTAGGCTAGCTGTTGTCCCGCCGCGTGGTTCCGTGTCTTTTTGCTGAAGCATAAGATAATTTGCCGTCATCCGCTGCTTCCACATTAATGTATAAAATAGGAGCTAGGTACGCGATGGATAGAGTAGACTAAGATGTAGATAGATAGATAGATAGATAGATAGATAGATAGACTTTATTAATCCCCGAAGGGAAATTGGTTCAAAGTTGTCTAACTTTAGGCAAAAGGTTCTATTCCTTGAAAACTGTACATCTTTGCAAGTACTCTAACAAATTATGGATGTAGTAAAATATCACAGGAAACATAAATAAACATAAAATAAAATGCAGTTTAAAGGAGCTGGGCTTACTTTGGTGGCATATTTTCAGGTCTACTGGACCAATCCCACACCCAGTCAGTGTCCCCTCGCCGCTCACCATCCTCCTGCAATATATAGTGTATAAGTGTTTAGATGATGTGCAACAGTAGAAAAAGGAGAGGACACAGAATAGACAATTTTGGACAAAGACAGTGGCGTTGACCTGAGCAACCTCAGCACATGAACGTTGCTGATACTGATACATTTGTCTTCGGGGGAA